TCCATCCTCCTTCCCCGTCGCCCGGCACCCACCTCCCCTCCCCTTCCCCATCGCCCGGCACCCACCTCCCCTCCCCTTCCCCGTCGCCCGGCAGCCACTCCCTTGCCATTTGTGATGATAGAAAACCTCAGTGGCTCACCTGGAAGATTGATGCCAGAGGTGTAGTTCATATAACGTTTAGCTTTTAACATCATTCAAGGGGGGGAGCCAGCCCCCTGTGCCCATCCCTCCCTCCCCAGGGCGGAGCTCTAAGGGCTTGTGGGGCAGGCAGCTCCGAGTGAAACCCCCACCCTGCTCACTTCCCCTCTCCCTGGAATGCCGGGGCATTGCTCTGCCCCCCTCCCCCGGCGTTTGCTACACAGAGTTCCTTCCGCAATCAGCAGCCGGATCCAGAGCCATCCTGGGTCCCGGCTGCCGTGTGGCGCTGTGGTCAGGAGCCATCGTCAGCCAAGCTCTTCGGGCCAGGCGGGATCAGCTGCGCCTGCCCTGTTCACAGTCTGTATTGGCTTAATAGTGCAGCCAGGAATCTCACAGCGCTTTACAACGGTCAGTATCGTTATCCCCCATTTTACAGATGGGGAAACTGAGGCACGGAGTGGTGAAGTGACTAAGCTGAGGTCACCTAGCGGAAGAGCCAGCCACAGAACCCCGAAGTCCTGATTCCTAGTCCCTGCCCTGCTCTAACCGTGAGACAGCACCCCCCTTCCTAGACCTGGGGAGAGAAGCTGGGAGTCCTGGCTCCTTGCCCCTCCAGCTCTAACCACTAGATCTCCACTGCTTTCCCAGAGCCAGAACTAGCCCCCAAGATTCCCGGCTCCCAACAGAACCCAGATCCCCTTCCTGTCACCACTCGACCCCCTCCCCCACTTCCCAAAGCCTCCTAAAGAACCCAGGGGTCCTGCCTCCCAGCCCTGTGCCCTAACCACTAAACCACTCTGCTTCTGTATGGCCCATTGTCATGACGACCTAGAGCAGTGCCCTGGCTCCACCCAACCGGTGCCCGTTCCGAGGGCGGCCGGGTTCCCTCGCCATGAGCCCTGGGGCACCTGCCCCCCACCTCTATCCGCCCTGCCCCTCCTCCCCTGACTCCCCATGGGCCCATGCGGCAGCTCTAGCTTCACTCCAGCACGAGGAACTCCAGGAGTTTAACTGTACAGGGCTTTACAGAACAAAGCAAACAGAATCAGCCACACAATGGCCAGACATAAACGGGCCCGAGCGCCGGGCCCGCCCCCTGGTGTCACCCGCTCTCCGACGAGGTGTGGGGAGCGGTGGAAGGAGACTTCCGCCGGCGCGTGGGCGTCCACGAGGACCTCTCGGAGCTGTTGGAGATGGGGCAGAACCTGGGGGCGCAGCGCTTGGCCAGCTCTCGCTGCTGCTGGCTTATGGCTTGGCTGATGAGTCCGGGCAGGGCGTGTAGGCTGAGGCCCAGCGAGTCGATCTTGCTCTCCAGGGTGTTGATGCGTTTCTCCAGGTCCTCGTTGCGCTCTTGGAGCTCGGAGATCATGTCGTACATGACGTTCTGGGTCTGCCGGAGAGAAGGGGCGAGGCCAGGCGCTCAGAACCGACGCCATCTCAGCAGGCAGCCGCAGGGCTCCTGGCCTCGCAGCTCCCAAGGCGCTAGCCATTAAGGGCTCCTGATACCCATCCCCAAGGGCTAGGACTCAGAGCCAGGGGACAGTGACGTACCAAAGTGATTATTCCGCCAAGGCTACCCAGCGAGAACCAGTGGAGAACTGGGAATAGCACCCGGGAGCCCTGACTCCCAGTCCCCTGCTCTAACCACTAGACTCCACTTCCCTCCCATAGCCAGGATAGAACCCAGCAATCCTGATTCTCAGTCCCCTGCTCTAGCCACTAGACCCTTTCCCCCTCCCATAACCCAGACCTCACTCCCCTCCCGGAGCTGGGAATAGAACCCAGGATTCCTGCCTACCAGCCCCCGGCTTGAACCACTAGCTCGTGCTCCCCTCGCATAGTCAGGAACAGAACCCAAGAGTCCTGGCTCCCAGCCCCCTGCTCTCACCACTAGAGCAGGAGTGGGCAAACTATGACCCAGGGGCCGCATCCGGCCCTTCATACATTTTAATCCAGCCCTTGAGCTCCTGCCGGGGAGCGGGGTCAGGGGCTTGCCCTGCTCCACACGTGCTGTGGCTCTGTGTGGCTCCCGGAGGCAGCGGCATGTCCCCCCTCTGGCTCCTATGCGCAGGGGCAGCCAAGGGGCTCTGCACGTTGCCCCGCCCCAAATGCCACCCTGGCAGCTCCTATAGGCCAGGAACCACGGCCAACGGGAGCTGCAGACGGGACAAGGTGCAGAGCCGCCTGGCCACGCCTCCGTGTAGGAGCCGGAGAGGGGACATGCCGCTGCTTCCGGGAGCTGCTTGAGGTAAGCGCCACCCGGAGCGTGCATCGCGACCCACTTCTGTGCCCCAATCCCCTGCCCCAGCCCTGATCCCCCTCCTGCCCTCCAAACCCCTCAGTCGCAGCCTGGAGCACCCTCCTGCACCTCCAACCCCACCCCAGAGCCCGCACCCCCAGCCGGAGCCCTCACCCCCCCCAACCCCCAATTTTGTGAGCATTCATGGCCCACCATGAATTTCCATACCCAGATGTGGTCCTCGGGCCAAAAAGTTTGCCCAGCCCTGCACTAGAGCCCAGCCCAGGTGCAGCACGCTGTGCTGAGGCCGGCCGTCTCCCGGTAGCTCACCTTTGCCAAATCCACCAGGGTGTTTGCCTGGTCATTCAGTTTCCGTTGCTCCATTTTCACACTCCTCAATCTAGAGCGAAAGAAGCGACACTGGGTCAGTGGCCCGTCCGGCAGCCGGAGCCCGGGGCCTGGGGCGGCCCTTCCCGAGGACATGCACGGCGTTCCAGAGCCCGGCTGGCTGGCTCCGATGCACAGACATGCAGCTGTCGAATGAGGCGGCCCCTGTGGAATCGCAGGGCAGGGGGCCGATCCCCTTGCTCCTGGCGCGCTTTTCGAGCCCTGAGCCGCCACGCCCTGCCGGAGAACAAATCTCTCCCTCCAGGAGCCGGTGCCAGGTCGGCAATCAGCCTTTGTGGGCACTTGGGAGCAAGGAGGCACCTTGGTGTCTGAGGCCCCGTGGGGCTCGGGTGAGTAAAGGGGGCTCCGGCCTCACTGGAGAGCACCCACACAACAACCAGACGTGGTGCTCTAGAGAACCACTACCATGCAGAGGGGCCTGGAAATGGGACTGAGATGCCCTGCGGACAGTCAATTTGGATGCAGAGGAGATGGGGCCGACTGGGGGATGCAACAAACGTCCCTTCGGGACGGGGGCTGGGCTGGGCGGTTGAAAAGTGACCTCGGGGTAGCGCTGGGCTGATGCGGAGTGGGGAAGCCTTCGTATGAATGAGAGTCACCGGAGATGTCACAGCTTAGAAGGGCTTTCTCCACAGGCACGCTCCCCCCCCCACCACCCCCGCTGCAGTCACTCCTGGCCTGGCTGCTGCCCCCACACCCTGTTCTGCAATTAACTCCCACGGCAGCCCTCCCTCCCCTGCTCCTGGGCTGGGAAGCCTTGCATTCAACCCCTTGGGACGGCACAGACGCAAAAGGATGGAGGCATCTCTGCCCCACTCTCTCTGCTGCCCCCATCAGCAGCTCCCTCCCTGTGCCCTAAATTGGCCTCCGCTCAGCCGCCCTGTGCAGCTCCCATCTCACTGCCTCAATCCCTCCTCTGCCGTGCCCTGAAATGCCATCCAAGGCTACCAGGGGGGAATTCGGGAGCCCTGGGAGTTCTAAGAGGTTCTAGATCATGTGTTCCAAGCCTGCCCCTAGATCCAGCTGCCCCCGGGCTATAGGATCCAGCCCTGCCTTTTCTAGCGTCAGGGTGGCAAAGAGCGACGGGGACCCACGGAGCTCCGTTCGCCACGAGCCCCTTGCTGGGATGCTGAGGCTAACGTGGGTGTCACTCCCCTGCCAACTTGCCCGAGAGCCGGATCTGGCCCGCACTCATCAGAGGGGTGATTGCAGCTCGGCCGAGCAGCCCTGCGCTAGTATTAATGTGGCTAAAAACAGCCGTGAAGATGAGGCCACGCAGCCCGTGACGGGCTGGCTCTGTGAGGACAGACCCGGAGTCCCAGGCAGGCTGCCCGGCACATGCTACCTGAGCGGCGGTGAGCCCCCGGCAGGGAGAGAAGCCCTGGTAAGCTGCTACATGGCTGCTAGCCATGGTGGTCAGGCTGCTGAATGGATCAATGAGGGGGAGTCAGTTCGGCAGTTGCCCCCCCACCCCCGGGCAATGGACAGAACATGGATTCACAGGGTAGATTTGGGGGCGTCTGAATGGCCAAAATGTTCCGTTTCAACAAAACCATGCACAACACAAGGCCACATTCGAGAGACTGGCAGCTCCACGGAGGCGACTTACTTCTGAGCTCTGGAGGGATCGGGCAAAACAAAGACAAAACACAGCACGTTTTAATAACCCGACAGACAACACGCACTGTCACGCCAGCCGGTGCCCTCCCCCTGCCCCGCCCTGCTCCCCCCCAGAGCCCCGCACCCCTTCACACACAAAGGCCCAGCCCGCTTGCACAGATCTGGAAACTGACAAAGCCGATTGCATTTAGCACCTTGTCCCACTGGGGGGAAAAGTCTCCCCAGGTTCCTCTGCCCGTTTCCCCGGGGCTTCGATCCCGGACTGTGGTGACGGCCCTTTAAAATTCTGAGGTCAGGGCTCCACCGCTGAGGTCACGGTGCTAGAGATTTCGAGAGGACAGAGCTGTATTTCTGGGGGGCGGGTGGAGAGTGAAAACCAGAACGTGTTGGTGAAATGAACCCGGGGGCAGGGAAGGGAACTCAGGAGAAGAACGGACGCTGATCAGCCGGGGGACTGGCGAGGAAGGACCCAGGCACCGGGGGGTGGAAACGCTGCAACCCTCACAAAATCTCCAGCTTCGCTCTTTCCCAGCCGAAGAGGCTTAGCAGGGGGCCAGGCGACTCCAGGCCTCCTGGGGTTTGTCCAGCCACATGGTTGCTTTGGGGTGACCCTCTGGAAAGGCAATCGGGTCACCCCCACTTTCTAGTGCTCTGGGACCTTGTGGGAATAGCTCGCCAGGCCAGGGGTCTCAGGATTTCTGATGCCAAAGGGTGAGTCATGGAACAGGACGGGGAGCGCTCGGAGCTCAAACCAGCCCGCCTACCATGGCTATCTGTGGGAAAGACCATCTGCCAGCTGCCTTTGTGCCGGGACATCTGGTGCCAGTATCCAGCGTTATAGGGTGGAGACAGGGCACCCACCGCTGCCGTCTCTAAGGGACAGTTACTTTAAGGGCTCTCTTGGTGCTTTATGCACAGGAACTGTTTAAACATGAGGCTTAGACAAGACTCACCCCCGTGTACAGCTGGGGAAAGAGAAGCACAGAGGGGGAAGGGACATGCCCAAGGCCACCCAGAGAATCTTTGGCAGAGCTGGGAAGAGAACCCAGGAGTCCTGCCACGTGGGGGGTGCCCCCAGCAATGTTTGAAGTGGTACGCACCATCAGTCCCCGTGGCTCCCTCCCCGGGACAGGCCCCTGTGCCTCGCCCACGCCGACGGGCAGGGTCACTCCCAAGCCCTGAGAAGGGGGACAGGCTGCTGGTAGCAGGGTGGCCCAGGCAGGCCCCCAGCGGGGAGCCCTGGTGCATTCGGGTTTGCCCCCACTGCCCCACGACAGAGGGCTGGCGGGGCCAAACCTAAGTGGGCAGCGTGGCCGTCAGCGCTGCTGCTCCTCCCCCTGCCAAGGGAACGCCCCGGGCACAGCAGCCTAAACGCTCGGCTTGGCCAGAGACACCGTGAGCACAGCTGGGCTGGCGGGGGGGCGTGCAGACACCAGCGATGGGTGGGGAGGGGAAAACTTCCTGGAGCAAAGACTGCGGGCCAGACCCGCAGCTACCGGGGACTGCTGGCTGCAGTCAATCTATACCAGCTTTGGGGTCACGCCTCGGGTGAAGGGGCGGGGGGGGGGGTTGCTCCATCCACCCAAGTGCAGAGTGGCTGGGAAGTGCCCAAGAGTCTGCCAATCTCTCTCTCACACACACGGAGTCATAGAATAGCAGGGCTGGAAGGGACCTCAGGAGGTATCTCGTCCAACCCCCTGCTCAAAGCAGGACCAATCCCCAGACAGATTTTTGCCCCAGATCCCTTCCCTCCCCTCAAGTCCACGTGGGGTGGGTAAAACCCCAGGCCCCTCTTCCCTGAAATAGCTCTCTCTTGGTGCCTGGGCTTTGGTCCATCCATGCATCCCCATACACATCCCTCCCTCCCTCCCTCCATCCGCATATACACCCATCCATCCCTATACGCACCCATCCAACCCACCCAGTTCTTCCCAACAGTTTCCCTTTCGTTCAGTGTCGTGTTCCAGGTACATCCCGAATTCCCCCTCCCCCATCTCTGTGCAGCACGGGGGCCTTTGTGGGTGTGTTGCGGAGGAGGGGGACACGCGAGGTGCATCACGATGGGGAAACAATGAAAAAAAGCCAAGCCAGTCTGCAGACCCGGCGACGTGCCCGACGTCGGGGTTTCATTCCCCCTCGCCCCTGCCAAAGAGAACAGACAGACCGACCGACCCTGAGCGAGGGTTGAAGGGGTTTGTTTTTCAGAGCCGGAGTTTCAAAACTGGCCACCCAGGCGGGGGCGGGGGGCAAATCCCGTGCAAGCGTGTGCCCGGCCCATGGGCACCCAGGCCCATGGGGACCCTCTCACATGGGGCACCTGGGCTCATGGGACCCGCTCTGGGTTCCTGCAGGCTGGATTTCCACCTACTGCCCTTCGAATGCCCTGTTTGCTCCCCATGCTCAGGTGGGTGAGAACTGAGCGTGGGCCATGGGAGATGGAGCCCTCTATCCACACAGCAGGGACGCCAGGGGCAGCCACAGGCGCGCTGCCTCTGTCTTACGCTGCTCGGTTCTCTCAGCCCCGATGGAGACGATAGAGCCAGGGATGACACCGCGGCACTCCCTGGCTGCACCGCGCTGGCCCTAGCACTGCGCTCCTATGCTGGGGCTGGGGCTGGTTATTTAAAGGGCCCCTGCAGCCTGCATGCCCGATTCAGTAGGCTAGGCATGTTCCCCTGGAGCCCTGGGCCTGGCACCCGGACTCTCCAGGCATTGCTGGGCACTAAAGGCTGCCCGGGTCCAGTGGGAACTTTGCACCCAACCGCAGGGGAACAAGCAGCACTAGCCAACGATAACACAGAGCCCCTGGCAACACCAGGGCAGAGCCCTGCCCAGGAGGATGGAAGCCGGTGGGCGCTGAGGGGCTGCTGGCAGTTTCGGTCTGCAATAGCAAGACAAGGCAAAGAGGGACCCTTTTGCCCGGCACCACGCCGGTGTCCTTGCTGCCATCAGTCCGCGGAGCCCCTCCAGCCCCGGGAAAGCGAGTCGGTGCCTGTTCTGCTCTCTGCGTCGCTGGTGGAGTTCTGATGGTGGCCCGTCACGATGGCGCCGGGGCAGGGAGAGCGCAGATGGTTCCTCTTACAGTGGGGGCCCCGAGACAGCAAAGCGTATTAGCACATGCTGCAGTGACTTGATGAATAGGGGCCTGGATGCGGGCACCGCTGAAAGCTCGATTCAATGCACTGCTCGGGAGTCCACAGGCCCAGAGAGGAGAAATCTGGTACCCTGTGGGGTAGTTTGCAGAGCGTCATCTTGGCTGTCATGGGGCTTTGAAGTGGTTTAGCGCTCCGCAGCACGAAGGGGCAATCTGGACTCATCCGTGAGATTTCTAGAGGACCCAAAGGCTTGCAAACGAGTCCTGGGGGAACTATTCTAAGCTGAATTCCCCTTGAGTCAGGAGGGAGGGAGAGATTTTTATGGTGAAAAACTGAGATCCTAAGTTTGGCGACTGGAGTCGTTTTAAATGGAGCTGACGGAAAACCAAGAAAAAAATTGGTGGACCATGTTTAGAAATTGTTTTCTCCCTTTTTGGGTCAAAAATCTCAAAATTTGAAAAGTTTCAGCCAGTCGGTTGGAAAAACAGGAGGGAAAAAAGGCAATTTGTAGGAATCTGTCAAAATTGCTGAAAATTTCAAAACATTGAAATGTCAACCATATTTGTCCCCATTTTTTCCTCAAAACTGAGATTAAATTTTCCATCAAAATTCAAAAGCTGGACAAGATTTTTTTGCTGAAATTTGAAAATTTCAACTTCCTGCAAAGTTCGTTGAAAAATGGAAATGAAGGAATTGGCAAACATTGTATTGTGTTTTCTTTTGGGTAAAAAATTTTGACCAAATTTCATGGGAAAGTTTTGGAATTTTGACATGAAATTTTGCCACGTCAAATTTTGACATAATTTTGGGGGGGGGGGGGAATTTGAAATTTTGATTAAATTTGATGTTAAAATTTGAAACCACAAGAATTTTTTTTTCTCATTTTCTCAACAGAATTTAAAAAAAACCCTCAAAATGTCAATCTTTTTCATCCACATTTTGGAATGTTAAAAATGTGAATTGGCTCGTTTTCACTCCTGCCTCCCATCCCTTCACTCCCCCAACCTCACGGCCTGGAAACTCCGGCGGGTACCAAATATGAAGCAGGTAAAGGTGTTGGACTTACTGATGGATGGCTTGGAGGAACTTACGCTGGTGTTTCCGAACTTTGGCATGATCGATCTTCTTCACCAGCTTGGTGTGTTTGTAGATGAGCCAAGTTTCCCTGAGTACGTTGGCAGCAGCATTTTTCACCTGGGGGAAACAGGAATAAATACGGTAGTCAACGGGCTGAGTAGATTGGGCATTGATCATGTTTTGAGCCAACTTGCAGGGGGAAATTCACCCTGGGCGGGGCGGCTAACACAAAGCCTACATGCCACATAAAACTCCCTTCAGCCCCACCCCTGGGAATCCCAGAATCCTGAGTTTCCCAGGGCTGAATTTCACACACACCCCCGCCCCCCGAACGCGATAGCTGGGATTTGCGGGGCGGAAGGAGATCGGGGCAATGGGGAAAGGAACAGGCTTGGGGAGCGGGAGAGATTTCTTACCCGCTTCGTTAACTGTGTGTCCATCATAAAATTGTGCACGTGTTTTTCAGCTTTGGTGAGTTCCAGCTTCCGGGCCACCACAGCGACAACCAGGGCCGTACACCCAGCGCCCTGGGGACCGAAATAAGAAGGGGCGCGGGTAAGGGAAAGCAGAACTCGGGCTACCAGGAGAGAGGCTGCTAGGACCAGTGGGAGGCCAGACGTGTGCCTGCAAGGGAGCTGGAGAAGAGATGTCAGCACCCAGCTAGATTTTTCATAGGGGCACCGGGTGGTGATCACACTGAAACCCGAAACGTTTGCAGGGACCCCGGGAACATGCCATGGGAGCCTGCACTGTTCCTGGCAGCAGGGAGTGAGCAATGGGGTATTTCACCCTCACTAGGAGAACATGTCTCTCGGTCTCTTTCTAGTGGCTCATCTTTCTAAGAGGATAAGAGCCTACTACTGCTGCTAGCTAAGGGAGTCACCTGTTTAGCTCAAGCCATAGAGGTATATGCTTTTTTTTTGTGCTGTAGGTTGCAGGTTCAAACTCCAAGCAGGGGTGGTTAGAAAAGCAGAACTATAGCCTCTATGTCTGCAGAGCGGGTTTTCGCTCAGCTCTCTCTATGCAGCCGGGATGCCCCCTTGGGCTTACCATGATTCCAGTGAGCAGGCACACCCCCTTCCCGCAATAGGTGTGCGGCACCATGTCGCCATAGCCGATGGAGAGAAACGTGATTGAAATTAACCACATCGCTCCCAGGAAATTGCTGGTCACTTCCTGTTTGTCGTGATACCTGCCGAGGGGCAATGAAACACAGGTCAAGGGTTATCCGGCCCCTCCCTCCCCCGGCACGAGCATTTCAGAGTCGCTCATCAGATCTTAATCCAACAAGGGCCACAGCTTGGGGCGGTCACAGGGCTCTGCATCGGGCCAAGAGGGCTTCTGTCTGATTGCAAAAGACCAGGCCAGAATCTCTGCTCCGCGACAACCCTGCAACTCCTTATTTGGACTGGCAGCTCCCTCAGGGCAGGGGCTGGCCACTGCTTTGGGTCTGTGCAGCGCCTAGCGTAACAGGGCTCCTCCTCCTGGCAGGGCCTTAGGCACGACCGTAACACACACGGTTTATAAGAATAAAGCCAGTGGTGTAAAAGTAGTGCACAGGGGAGCGGAGCCCGGCTCATAATCCCCACCTGCTGAGATTTATAGTTCTTGCGCTGCCGAGGCTCTGCTCCTGGCCGCCCGGACGCCAGGCTGTCTGGGGTTTCCCCGTGGAGCTGAGGAGGGGTGCGTCCGTCAAGCTGCGATCTGAGCTAGGGACCCCCGGCACGCCCTCTCTGTGCACGTGCCTGCCTGGCTCACACCTGCTAGGATCTGGGCGGGGCTGCTTCGCCGCTGTCGGGTTCCCTCTGCAGGCAATGGGGTGATAACACTCCGCTCCTATCGCTGCGATTGTCCAGGCAGCCAAAGGAGCGAGGGCTCTGATCCCACGGGCAGTCCACGACGCCTTTACATAGCCCAGCCTACAGCCTTTGCCGAAGGGTTTTACAAACACAAATGAATCCGTCCACCTCAACCCTGTGGGACAGGAGTGTGTCAGGAGCCCCGCGTTGGACAAGGAAACTGAGGCACAGAGAGGGTTATTTACCCCTGGGCAGAGGGACAGCACGGTGACTCTTCTGGTGGTGATTCCTCCTGCGCTGGTCCCTCTGCCCAGAGGTTCATTTCACCCTCATTGACTTGTCCAGAGGACACGGGCGACAGAACACCGGCCTCCTGGCTCCCAGCCCAATGCCTTGGCCACTAGGCCTTGCCTCTCTTTCCACGCAGCTCCATGGCGACGGCTGGACATCGCAGCGCTGGCGAATCAGGGCTTTGCATCGGAATCCCCTGCCTCAAGCCTGTGAATGGGGTTCAAAAGTCCACCCGGGGCTGCGGGGCGGCCCTCCCCTGGTCTCAGAGCCGCACGCGGGGTCAGATTTCAGAGGTCTCAGCTCAGGGGAGATGGAATCTGTTTAAAATCCCGGCGCCTCTTTGAAAAGAGAAACATCTGCAGCCATCACATCACGTCAAGGGGGCGAAGTGTTTTCAGTGCGACGGAGGCATTTTGCCAAGAAACCTCCACTGGGGCCTGGAACGGGAAAGGCGAGCCGGGGACGCTGCCTGGAGCTATGCAGGGTGAGGGTTTCCCTGCCTGGCCTTGGCACCTGCCTGGGATCGGGGTGTGAAATAGCTGCTAGTGGTCTGGGAGCCCAGAGAGTCCTCATACGACCCTGACACGGCACCCTACCGAGCTCTGCATCCCCTCTCCCCACTGCCGGCTCTCGGCACGTGTCCTGCTCCTGGACAGAGACAAGCCAGGAGCTTCTCCAACAGCATCCTGCTGCTGTCTAGCTTGCCCCTGGCTTTGGTGCTGGTCTGATCTAAGGACTAGGTTGACCTAAGGGCTTTTCCCTGCTCCTGTGGAGGGACAAGAGAATTGCAGGCCTGTGAAGGGTGCAGATCCGGCGGGCCGGACTCCCCAGGGGCTACGTCAGCAGTACACAGTGGGATGAAAGCAGTTGGCAAAGGCCAGTGGAGGACGCTCCTGTGCAGAGGAATGATCTGCCAGGGAAGGTGACACCGGGGGAGCAAACCGGGAGACCGGATGGGGGGGGGGGTGATGCAAGAACTGACCCGACCCTCCACAGGGCTCAGTTTAGAGCTGCTCCCCTACAGCTCCAGCGTGCGCTGGGGTCAGGTGACTCAGCCTCAGGGAGCTGTGATCATCTCCCTGAGGTATCGCCCCCCCCCCTTAACTGAGCTGAGATTGACCCCAGAGAGCCCAGCGGGCACAGACGGAGCAGCTGGTCTACGGTGCTGGTCAGGATAGTTTGGAGCGCTGAGATCTGTGAATGAGCATTCTCTCTCGACGTCATGGTGTGAGCGTGACACACGACTGCACTCGCACACGTGTGCATGCCCAGCCACCCACCCAGAGGCCTGATTCTCCATTGCAACCGCACTCACTGCTATAAACAGCTGCACGAGACTCCTTCCCAGGGGCTCTCTCTTTCTCTGTCACTCACACATGCGGGTCCATCCCCTGGTCCTGCCTCGGCCAGAATTCCCACGCAGGTTATTAGAAGTCTGATTGCTCAAGGCTCACACGGTTGCGTGCGCTGGTGTGTGAGACAGAGACAGGGTGCGTGTGCATGTGCACACACACGGATGTGTTCATTTACACGCCCTCACCACCCGTGACCTGTGTTAGACAGGAGGTCAGACCGGATGATCGCAATGGTCTCACCTGGCCTCAGACTCTAGGGATTGGATCTGTTTAAAAGATGGATGTTTTCGGAAAATGTCCCTGCAAACTTTAGATGGCACGAAAGAGCCATTCGGTGTCAATGTGACACACTCTGGCTACTGACGAGACTTTAGGGGTACGGGAAATGCAAACAACGCTTCAAACAGAACCATCCGGGGGTTTGAGCTTTAAAACATGACAATTGGCACTAAGGTAAGACAAAGAGGGGGCAGCTAAGGTCTTCCGCTGACTTGAGTGTCTCTTGGGAGGTCGCTGGAGCTGTGGTTTTGCATTAATAGCTGTCTGCCCAGCACTGCTCCCTGATCAGGTTTGCTGGTGGGGTTCAGGCTGGTCGCTGGGAATGGCCGCTCATCTCCCTCCATTTGTTGACATTTCACTTGTAAGTGGCTGCTCAGGAGTCCTGGCCCAGATTCTAGGCACAACAAAACTGGAGTAATTTCTCTGATGTCGGCTGGGGGTGCTCTGGGTTTAGACTCACGTCACTGAGGTCAGAATTTGTCCCAGCGTCATTAAAAGGGAACAGAAGCCGCCCAAAATGCAACTCGACAGTTCAAATGTCAGATACGTACAGAGTCAGGCAATTCAGAAGGACGGCTCTGAGAGCAGAGCAAAATCCTCCCTGTGAAACCTGAAACATGACTCAATACAGCCCGGGTTTGGGGAAAGTTACACGTCTCCTTCCCGCAAACCTGGGGCGGAGTTATGCCTTTCAAAAGCCACGTGGGTAGAACTTTGAAACCGAAACTCAATTTCAAACCCTTGAAAACTCAAACCAATGAATACATCAGAGGGATAAATACCGGGGAGGGAGGGGAGTTATTTAAGTTAAGCACCAATGTGGACACAAGAACAAATGGAGATAAACTGGCCATCAAGTAGTTTAGGTTTGAAATTAGATGAAGGTTTCTAACCATCAGAGGAGTGAAGTTCTGGAGCAGTGGAGGCAAAAAACCTAATTGGCCTCAAGACTGAGCTTGATAAATTTATGGCGGGATGGTAGGATGGGACTGCCTACAAGGGCATGTAGCCGATCAGCGACTGCTAGCAGCAAATAGCTCCAAGAGTCGGTGATGGGACACTAGCTGGGGAGGGCTCTGAGTTACTACAGAGAATTCTTTCCCAGGTGTCTGGCTGGTGGGTCTTGACCCACATGCTCAGGGCCTAACCAATCCCCCTATTTGGGGTTGGGAAGGAACTTCCCCCCGGGGCAGAGACCCTGGAGGTTTTTCGCCTTCCTCTGCAGCACGGGGCAGGGGTCACTTGCAGGTTTAAACCAGTGTAAATGGTGGATTCTCTGTAACTTGAAGTCTTTCAACCGTGATTTGAGGACGTCAGTGACTCAGCCAGAGGTCAGGGGTCTATTACAGCAGTGGGTGGGTGAGGTTCTGGGGCCTGTGATGTGCAGGAGGTCAGACCAGATGATCACGATGGTCCCTTCTGACCTTAACGTGTCTGAGTCTATAATTAGGCACAGCTCTCTAGACTCAGCTCTCTGGCGACACGCAGTACTTTCTAGCGTTACTGTACCCAGTCACTTTCTGTTCCATTCTTCCTGACACTACGTGGTAAATTAAACTACATTTATGCCCACTGTAAGGTCCCTTTAGACCTCCAGACAGGTCTAAAGGGGCCTTGGTCTCAATCTCTGAATTGCTCAGCTAAGATCAAGGCCTTAGCCTTGTGTAGAGGGGTGAATTCCCCCATAAGCACAGCAGATGGGGAAGGGCCTCTTTCCCCTCTTCGTTTGCAGGGTAACAATCTCTCTGCAATTTAACATCGCGAGGCCAAAATCACTCCTGGAACCTGCCCTTTTACCTTGCAGGTGAGTTTGACAGAGGCTATTGTTCAGACATCGACCCAGAGTGACCAGCTGTGTTCGCTCAGCCAGCCCGCACTGCAGCACCCGGGTGTGGCTGACTCGTTGGATGAAGATAAATGGCAACTTAGAGCATCGGTTTACAGACCACCCCCGCCATGACCATGTGGGGCTCATGTTAGGAACAGGAAATCTACACAGCGACTGCACAGTGGAACAATCCATCGAGGTGTGAGGGGGGAAGCCGGGTGTGTTAGAAATCAACCTGACGACGTGTGCAGAACACAGATGTGGCATGTAAGTGAGATGCCAGGCACATGTATGACACAGCTGGCCAACCACATGCCTCTGTCATGGGGGACATTCTATTCCGGCATTCGCAGAGGGGGGAGAAACTCGCACCTGATACAACCTCTTAGCGGTTTAGCCATGACATTTTGCGGATGGGTCTGAACCGGGGACAACAGAAATCTGCAGAGGGGGGAGAGCAAAACATCTGAAAGGTGGTATGAAGGTGAAGGAAAGTGCTTCGCGTATTACCTGTGCCCTCTGCGAAGTTCAGTAGAGAATTAAGTCTCCCAAGGACCTTGAGGGATCAATTAATAATAATTCGGCCTTTCTGCATCTTTTCTCCAAGGATCTCAAAGCACGTGAAATTAATTTCACCTCCCAACAGCCCCATCAGGTAGGCAACATCCCCCGTTTTACAGGTGGGGAAACTGAGGCACACAGGTGGGAAAGCCTGGATCAAAGAGTGAGTTGATGGCAAAGCTGGGAAGAGAACCCAGGATCCTCAAACTCTAGCCAATCAAAACGGTCAGATACTGAGTCAGCCAATCCACACAAACCCGTTGAAACTACAGAATTGGGTAGCACTACCTAGCTACGTTTGTAATCAGGCCGCCCGTCATCGTGGTATCTGGGTACCTGAGGTCTCAGGAGAACACACTCTTGTACATAATTTCCTGAGATTCTTGCTTCTGGAGGGAAACGTCACAAGAAGCGGCCATTGCTGGCGGGATTGGCGCTCTTTGCGTCCCAGCAGGAAGCATAAAGGCAGCACAAAACCAAACATTTCAGAGCCACGCGGAGAAAACAGAAACCACGTTCAAATTTGGACAAAGATTCCGAACTTTGGCTTCTCCTCACTTCAGCACCTGAGAGCCACCCACTCAGTATCCGAAGGCTACGAGCCAGCCCTGAGGGGATAGCTACTTTCAAGCCACGGCTGATTTCCTTGGGTTTAAACTAACAACCTAGAGTTTTAAAGCGTTTTGTGAGCCACCAGGTCAAAGCTCTGCAGTGGAGGTGCAGGAAAACCTCCCTCGCCACTGATTTCTGTTGCCGTTGGCCCACTAGCTCTCAACTGACTTCCATGAGTCACTTTTGTTGGGGCTGATGTCTTTGGGTCACAATCATTTTTGCCAAAGCTGGAATTGGAGTGGGAGGAAGTGGGGGTGAGAATGGACAGTGGGGTGAAATTCACTCCTGTGCAGAGAGCCAGCACAAGACGTAGACATGCCTTAAGCCATGTTTTTAAGGGCTTAAGTGGGACTTAAGTGGTGCATGGGACTCACACAGGCTTCTGCACCAGGCTGAATTTCATCCATAGTGAAATGAACGTCTTCCTGTCTTTGGCTACTTGAGCCTGGTGTAGAGGAGCCAGTGACCAGAAATAGCACCGGGGACTGGCAGGGTGGCTTTCTCCACCTCAGCAGGGCTCTGAAGCTCTCTCCTGCCCAACTGTATCTCAGCACTGAGAGACAATTCCAGGGCTGTGTTCTTTTGAAACCAGCATCTAATGAGTTAACACCAAATGCTTCTATCTGAGATGTCCGCCCGGCCTTGAAACCCTGAGTGCAAAATTTCACTGGGGGAAAAAAGTGAACCCAGAAAATGAAGAGGAAAAATACCCAGGGCTCCCAAGGGAAAAAGAGGCTGGGTAGGGGTGGTAAAAACCCAATCCAAAATAACGGGCACTGAGCAGTGTTGCAGATCTTGCCAGACTTGTCAAAGTTCTGCAGCAGGGCTCCAGAGGCATGCAGGGGAGGGGAAAAGGAGAGAAGAGAATGTAAAACTCAAAACAAAAATAAAGGAAAAAGAATGAGAGAGAGAAAGAGAGAGCCCCAAACCAGTCAGAAATCAGATTCAAGCAACAGGAGACTTGGAATTTAGGATTGCTGCGTTCCTCAGACAGACCCCCCTACCCCATTCAGATCCCGACAGTCAGACATGCCCCGGCCTTCCCAGCCCCTGCCCCATCCCGTCTCATGCATTCGCTCTCAAAAGGGGGTTTTGCAGAAAGGATCGAGTGAACCTTTGAAAGTTTGGCTTGGAACCTCAGTGGGGAAGGGAACTGCAGCCGTGAAGCACTATGGGAAAAATACTGCTCATCTGTTGGCGGAAAGGAGATGATGTGGTGAAGCATTATGGGTAAAAAAAAATCCTTGGTGTAACAGGTTGGTCTCCTGTAGGTGCCTGGATCGATGAACGGATGCAGGAGAAGCTGGAATGAAGACACTGAGCTGTTAACTTCACCCTCTCTCCCCAGCTGGCTAACTTGGTGATGGTGGAGTGGGGCTAAGTTAAGACCTTACGTTCTTTTAAAAGAATAATTCCTGAGCTGACCCCTGCTAGAGACAGCTGCAGAAGAAAGCAGCCACTGTGAGAGGGCATTACATGATAGGGGGAAAAATTCAGGCCTGGCCAGAGATCCGGCCAAAACCTAGGTACCACTTAAGTCCCGCTTACACCCCTTGGCACAAGTGGGACTTAAGCAGTGCCCAGGCGTCATGCTGAGCCTCTGCCCAGAGACGAAGGTCACCCTTGTGGGGCAAAGGATTCCAGAAGTGCCCACTCACTGACTTGGTTTGAATGCGACTGAGTCGGTTTCTAAGGGCCCCCTGCACTACGCACAGCAGGTGAAAACCTGGCCCTAATGCAGAGTCTTCCTCCATCTCTGCCTTTCCCCTTCCCTCTAGCCCTCATTCTCCTCCTGATTGCAGGGATCGCTCCCGGGACATTCGACTTGCGCTGCTAAAGATGGAGAAATGCTGAGCAGCGAAAAAACAGCCCGAGCTGAGAGAAAGGCCTTCGGAGACATTTTAGCCAAATCCTCATTCATTCTATAAATAACGAGGAGTGAATGTTTCCTTTCCAGCTGCTGTCGATGGTCTTGATTCTTTTCCAGGTTTTATTGCTGCATCCACGTAGTAAGAAATGGAACCACCTGTGGGCTTGACTCGTTTTGCTTTATGGAAACCACAGCCTGTGACCCATAGCTTGAGCCATGTAATAAATTGGCACCGTGTGAATGATTTGTAATGAATCATTTATGCAACACTATTTTACCTTTTTTTTTTTTGGTTCCCTTCCATTGATGACTCAATAGGAGAGCGTGAGATTCTGACCCGTGTTCGTCGTTCGTAAATTTCATCTGTGGATCAGGGAGAATGCTTCAGAGAGTCACCTGGTATCCTCTCTGGCCTGTGATTGGATAGCTTGTGTCACTGACCTACGCTTCCCGCCTTGACAGATCTCCTGCTAATTGTTCAATGAATTGTTCACCGGTGCAGAATGTTACCACCTTGTTTTGGGAGCCTTGTACAGCCCTCCTTTGCCCTGGGGCAGTAATTTCCCACCTTCTTTCATTTGCGGCAGACCCCCTAAAACATTTCAAAGGGAGGGGCAGACCCCTTTGGAAATCTTAGACATAGTCTGCAGCCCCCCAGGGGTGCACAGACCACAGGTAAGGGTGGTCTGTGCACCCCTGCACAAGAGATGGATCAATGGTGAACTGAGCCCCTCGTTGGGAATTCATTCTTGGCTAATATTCCGCCTTAATGTTCCATTTCACGAGGATCCGGGCTAGTGAAGCCAAAGAGGTCAGACCTTCGGGGAAGGCAAACACCAAACGGGCATAGCTCAAAATTTGCTTTGGAATCTGAGTAAGAATTTTCCCCCCCACTAATTTCCTCAGCTCTAATTATTCCTGGACCCTTCTCTGGAGCCCATCACCCTAATATCTAGCCTGGACGTGAGGTGCTAGGCAGGGGGTATTGATGAGCTTCAAATTCAATCACTATTGGTGTGAGCGAGGGGAATGTTAGGAATCTGTCAGTAGGATAAATGCTCCATTATATTTTGGTGCATAATAACCACTCAAGGGTTGGTGGAGTAATTGACTACACAGCACCATGAGTGAGTCTGGAGCCTTAAAGGGGAGCAACTGAGGCAGAGAGAGAGAGAGATGGGGGGGGGAGTGACTTGCCCTCCGGGTCATATGGCAGGCCAGGGCCAGAGCTGAAAATAGAATCCAGCCGTCCTGGCTCCCAATCCCCTGCTCTACCTGCTAGACTGCCCTGCTCACTCACTGAAACGCCGATTGTGTCCTAGGTGCAATGCACTAAATTCAGCTGCAGTGGCCTTTCCCTCTGGCACCCTGGTGCAGCCCAAGGTAACGTCACACGTTACAAGAGAGGCAGCTGACCAGCAGGGCTGGGAGAGGCGGGGGAGAGGGACACTTCTCTGACATGGTGGAACTGGACCCTGAGCAGCCTCTGAGCGGGGCTCAAAAGAGAAAAGGTTACACGGCTCCATTCTCTGCCATGCTTGCTCCTGTCTTCCTCGGGGCCTTCTCCGAAGAGCTGCCAGCCTGTCCCTAGTGAGAAATATAGTTTAGAGACAAGCCACCCAGAGGATCATCTGTATCTTATTTCCAGAATCTGGAACCCCTTGGATCCAGCTCTTCTAGAACCCCTTGGATCCAGAATCTGGAACCCCTTGGATCCAGAATCTGGAACCCCTTGGATCCAGCTCTTCTAGAACCTCTTGGATCCAGAACCTGGAGCCCCTTGGATCCAGCTCTTCTAGAACCAATTGGGTCCAGCTCCTTTAGAATCTCTTGAATCCAGAATCTTGCCCATCCGGATTTTCTAGAATGCCATCTTTGCAGAATTTGGAACCTTTTTGAACTTCGATCTTCCACTTAGTGATGCTGGAGAGGGATTGCCCAAGGGAGGAGAAAGAGGAAAACGGAGGCTGCAGGGGGGTAGAGAAAGAGGTGAAACGGGACAGGGAAGAGAAGGAGAACAGAAACAGAAGGGATAGAGCAGAGGATGGAGAGGACGACTAGAAGGATTTCCCAGCGGTGGGAGTGAGGTGATTTTTCACCCACGTTGAATCAGTTCTGTCTGTTTGATAGGAAAAACCCCAGTGAAATGTTGGGGTGAGCGCCCCCGGTTTTCCCAGTGCCCTGCTGGTCAGAGCATCGCCTGGAGCTGCTGTTCACACGCTGGGCTGTTCGAAGCAGTAGGGGAGCAGGGTCATTATCCTGCTGGTGGATGATTGTTTTAATGGCCTTTTGGCCAGGGAGGCCGGGTGGCTCAGTCGCCTTGCAGCACGGCAGGGCTTTGAGGTTTCCTCTAGGATGCCAGGTCAAATCCAACTGAATAGCAGTGATGAGGAACAGCTTCTGGGTGGTGGTTGATACACATCCAGGTGGAAGATGGTTGGGACTCAGTCCAGTTCCCCAGGACAGGCAGCCCTGAGTGGCATCAATTAGCCACTTGGTTGGTTGCCTTGGCCCATGACCCAAGAGCCATGGAGACAACTCCCCTCTGGGTCAGGGCTGAGATGCGGCGGCAGGGCAACGTGGATGGGTCTCTCTCTGCCAAAGCTGGCTCCGCTCTGCTCCGGTCTCCAGGGCTGGCACAGCAGAAGTTTTTGCTTTTGAGAGGCACAGAATAGTAGAGCAGCGCTGCAACCCCCCTCCCCCCTTTACTAAAGGGAACCCCGGGGTCCGGGAGCCTCCTTAAGGCCTGAGTGGCGCTCACACCCCACTGCTACTGCTCCTCACTGACACCAGGCTAATAACCGGACACTAATAGCCATTCGCCTCCGCCATGAGCACAGCTGCTGCAGCTGATGGCCGCACCCCGCGCTGACCCCACCCTAGTGGTCTCGGTGCTGGCCCCCCGGCGTGGGCAGCTCCACCGGGACAGGGCTGAGGGAGGGAATTCTCCACTTCCCTGACGCCTCGCACCGGCCCCTCCTTGTTTTCTTTTATCCTGCAAAAAATCCAACTGAGCGACTGGTGAGAGAGGCAGGACTGGCATCCTTCAGGGCCGGGGTCCTCCACCAAGGTGGCACGGCATGGGTGAGTGGAGGGCAGATCTCCGCTACGCTGCACCATGTAGGTAATCGGCCTCACCTCCATGGGGCGAGAAGGGAGTTCAGTCTGTGGGTCTTTTGGTCCCTGGCCTCAGTGCCAACCCAGGGTTCTCTCACTTAAAAACGTCATCCTGCCCGCTGAGCTCTGACAACTCATCACACCTGCCCGAGCAGTGAAATGCAGCTCAGAACTTCTGGGCTCTATTCCTGGCACTGCCACTGACTCCCTGTGTGGTCTCAGGCAAGTCACTGCCTCGTTCCATGCCTCAGTTTCCCCATCTGTACAATGGGGATGATGCTCACAACCTGTTTCCCAGGGAGGGGTTGTGAGGAGTCACCCATATAGATCGCAGCGACTCCTGCACCGGAAGGGGGCGTGGGCCGGTGGACACAGGGCTACCCCCAGCGCAGACGCTCGCTCCAGCGACAGAAGTGGGTTTTCCATTGCGGCAGGAACTCCATCTCCCCAAGTGGCGCTAGCGAATTCAACGGAAGCATCCGTCCACTGACCCAGCCGCGTCTACACCAGGGACGAGGTCAGCACTCAGGGGCATGCCGTTTTTCACACCCCTGAGCGACGTTTTAACTGTAGACCAGGCCACAGAGAGGGGCCAGCACCGCGGAGGGGAGCTGGGTGAGACGCCTGCGTCCCTTGCGGCCGGCTCTGATGAGAACTAGCTGCCCAGCCCCGGCGCTTAGAGCCCTGTTGGCCCCGGGGCCTGGAGCTTGGCTCCATCTGAGCCCGCGGGCAGAGCGCCTGTGGGGATGCTGCAGTTCCGATCCTAGGGGTACGGCTCTACAGCGCCCGTGATTCCTCCCTCCAGAGCGTGGCTGTTCCTCCCACCTGGCCATGCCAAGGAAAGCAGAGTCCTGCCACTAAAGGGTTAACGGCCCAGCTCCTGGCCACAGGTTGGCAGGGATGGAATGGGAGCCCACTGGCAAAGCATGAGGAATCCACGCCTGGAAACTCTTCCCAAGGGAGAGGTCGAGGGAAGAAGTGGCGCTGGATTCCTGGGCGCACCTGGAATGGACTAGCGGGGGCGGGAGGGGAGGGAGAATGTCGGAGGCACCTGCCCCCATCACAATGAAATGCAGAGGTTCCAAGTGGAAGGGCTCCAGCCTGCTTTCAAGGTTCACGGCCCCTTTGCTACGAACTGGATCCCCGCCTCCGCCCACCCCACCAGCTGCAGCTAATCTTAAATTCTTGGCAGGCGCAAGGCTCGGCAGTAGGCGGCAGCTCCCCGTGCAGGATTGGGGCTAGGGGTTTCTAGGAACGAAGACTCACAGTTTGTCCCTATGAGCAGCATAGCAATTAGAGAGGGAAAACAAGAGCAGATTAATGAGCAGTCCCGGTGCAGCGGAGAAGTGGCAGACAGGAGAGGAGAGGAGAGCAGAGGAGAGGAGAGAGCACACGCACGCCCCCAGGCACACCGTTCGGGTCCCTTCCGACCTGCAGCTGAAGGAGCACGCGTCAGGCACGAGGCGCCCGCTCCCTTAAAAGCCAGAGCTCGGGACCTGCTCCCTGTTCGATGGGATCCGCCCAAGTTAAAGAGGAGGCAAAGGGCCAGATCCCCAGCTGGTATCGATCGGCCCAGCTCTGCTGGAGTCAATGGGATCAGAGCCCCAGCGGGTGTAAATCAACCTGGCCTTGGCCCCTAGGATCCCAGCTCCGCTGATTTCACTGACTCCACTGACTGAGGCGGTGGCCCACGGGTGTGCCTGAGATGGCCGAGGTGGGTTACTGTAACCCCCACCCCCCAGTCACCCTGAGAGCTCTCGGCCTGGGCAGGAGCTTACCCCAGGTTGTAGGGAAAAGAGGGAGCCCTCGGGTGCAGCAGGTGCCCCCTTTGCGTCTGGCAGCGGCACCGCGACACGCCAGGCTGGGGGCAAAGAGGCCTGGTGGCAAAGGGGAGACCAGAGGTGGAAGGGGGCGGAGTGGGGAGGACAGGAAGGGAAGCGGGGAGGAATCCTAGGACTGGGCGACGGCTCCAACCGGCTTTGGGGCTCAGAAGCTCATCTTAGTGGAAAGCAAAGCATGGGGGGGGGGCCTTCGCGCCGCCTGAAGGGGGGCCGTGGGGAGGGAGCGGTGCACCTTCAGTGGCTTTTACTTCGAAACAGCAAAGAAAGGAAGAGCTAATTGAGGCCAAGAGCACCTGGCGTGTTTAACTCACTCTGGATCAGCTCCCAGCCCTGCCCCCTCCCCAGCACGCGCTCAGGAAGGCCCCTGCCCCTCACAGCCGCTGGGGCGCCGAGGTGCCACCTCCGTTCGAATAACAGATCATGTCGGCGGAACGCCAGGTACGACAGAGTCACGCCCGCCCGGCAGACTCAGTCTGACCCCGAGGCTGACCACCCGCTAGATGGCTGGGCTGAGCGGGCGAACAAGCCCCGGAGGGGAACGGCTGGGGACACCGCGCTGCTCCCCACATCTGCGGAGACGCTCGGGGACGAGAGAGAGGAGGAGCTCGGCTCCAGGGCCGCCGGGGGAGGTGGGGGGGGGGGCAAGTGGGGCAATTTGCCCCAGGCCCCGGGTCCCACAGGGGGCCCCACGAAAGTATAGTATTCTATAGTATTACAACATTTTTTATGTAAGGGGCCCCCGAAAATGCTTTGCCCCAGGCCCCCTGAATCCTCTGGGCGGCCCTGCTCGGCTCACGTAACAGAGTGGGGCTGTCAGCTGCCAATGACCAGACCATGCCCAGCGGCCTATAAGTCAGCTACCGCTGGGGCTTTAGCCCAGGCAGGAGGTTACTTTCCCACCCAGAGGCTGTGGGTTCGCTCCCTGCTGGTGACCCGTGTTACAGACGGCTGAAGCCGGTAACAGCCAACCAAAGGGCCCTTTCCCTCTACTGGTGGGGGGATCACATACGCAGGGGTCCCCAGCTCTGGTCTATTTAAGAGAGCCCGGCGTGTCTCCAGCTGCCTCTCAGCGCCAGGCCCCGGAGGGCCCGAGCCCCTCCAAAGGGCCCGTGTGCAGAGCCTGCCCCGCCCTCCGCCCGAGGAGCCCTTACCTCTCGCACACGCGCACCGTCCAGGCGGCAATGATCCAGGAGGAGATGCTGAAGACCAGCAGCACGGTACCGGGGCAGATGGTCATGAGGGTTTTCATGATGAAGCGGGTGTTGAAGTTGATCTTGTTGAGGGCGCCGATGCTGCGGGAGGAGGCGTCGGTGAACAGTTTGCTATGTAGCAGCATGACGCGCCCGATCAGGTAGAGCCGCAGGAACATGGGGATGGAGAGGATGATGTCCACGTCGGCGTCGGCCACCGAGGTGGTGTAGGTGAAGGCCAGCCGGGCCGTCCAGGTGAAGAGGTACTGGCCCGGGATGGGGTGGATGGCGCACACCATCAGCTCCAGGCTGATGAAAAAGATCCGCTTGTAGGTCATGGCTATTCTCCAGTCGTCCGCCCCGTTGTCCACCATGAAGAGCTGGGCAGGGAGAGGGGAGGGGGGTTAGAGCCCGGGGGTTGCTGTAGGATGGGTCGAAAGGCCCAGCAGCAGCTAGCAAGGAGCTGGCAGGTGGTGTGGGGTCGCGCCCGTGGGCTCTATGCCCAGCCCCGCTGGCTGGCCTGGGGCAAGCCCCTTCCCCGCTCTCACACTGCAGCGCCTGGCACAAAGGGCCTGGGGCTCAGGTGGGTTCCCCGGCGCCGCTACAATACAAGCGGTGGCGAGAGGCTCTAGCCAAGGAGTAGGTGGTTAGCCCCAGCTGAGCTCAGCGCCTGGCCAGGAACAGTTCCTGTCCTAAATAGAGCAGGCAGCTAAAGGAAGGTTTGTTCTCCCCCTTTTACAGGAACTGATGCACTAGATCAGGCAGCGAGTCACTGCAGAGGTGGGAACTGAACTCACCCCTCCTGGCGCCGCTGCCTACCCACCAGACCAGGCATCCAGTCCTGTAGCGACACCGGCCTGGACCGGTGATAAATAATAACAAGGGCCTTCCTGTCTTTCCCTCACGCCCCCGGGGCCAGCTGTGCAGGGCAGAAGGGGAGAGACGGGTAACTGAACGAACCCTGTTCTAAATGCAATAGGATTTATAGAGGGCTCGTATTGCCCATTGAACAAGGGATGTTTTTCTCCTGTGCCCCGTCACCGGCAGCAGGTCGCATGTGGCTCTCGGCAATAATTGCAGCCAATAATAAAGTTATAATGGGACGTCTCGGAGCAATTTAGCCCTGCATTATTCTCCTGGGACTCTGCCAGGCTTCTCCAGGGCCCACTCGGCACTGGAAACGGCCAGGCGGAAGCCCGGCCTGAAGATCCATTCCCCCTGTGCCGCCTGCAACAGCCGGAGCTGTTCGGCTGAGTAATGACTGCACGCATCACCCAGCCCAAAGCCACTGCTCGCACATCTGCTTCTGCGTCAGCTTGGCTGGCAGGCTCTCATCCCAGGGCCTGCTGTGGGGATTTTCCATCTTCCCCTGCACTCACACAGGCTGCACAGAGCTTGCTGGCTTTCTCTGTCAAGGCAGGGTGGGGCGGTCCCTGCTCAGGCCCCTCTCTCTGCTTGTCTATCCCGCCAGTAACCATGTCTCAGCGCTACTACAGCTGAACAACCTTCCCACGGAACTCAGGCCAGAGGTTTGGGCGTAGATTAGAGGCAGCACCGGAGTCAGAGTCTGCAGCGAAACAGACCCAGGAATGTCTACAATCCCCCTAACAGGGTAGGCACCTCACTCGCTTACGTACTTCTGGAACCCCCCCTAAGCGCCTGTCGGCGTCTTTAGCTGCCCAAATACCTGGTATTTATAGATTTGTAAAACGCTACCAGATCAGAGGGGTTGTGGTTTGGTCTCTGGACAAGTATAAATGACTGTAGAGGCCCCGGCGTCCAGTGGCACCCCGTTTATCCGATCTAATTGGGATCGAGGCCAGATCCGATGATCAAAAATTCAGCTAATCAGGAGGGCCGCGTGAAACTAAGTTACGTGCTTCAGCCCCAGGCGGTGGGGCTCTGGCTGTCAGTGTCCGCACAGCTTGCTGTCAATAAGCTCAGATATTCAGTGTTGCCAGTTTTCATGGTTTGAACATGAGTTTCGTAGTATTTGGTGTCCCAGCTTCTGGAATTTGGTGATTTTTTGTTTAAAGCAAGTCAATTTCTAACCCTCAGACTGCAAAGAAAACCTTGAAAATGTGACTAGTGCGTAACCCCAAAGGCTGAAGACCCAAAAGGCAAACGAACATTGTTAGTTGAAGCCAATCTCAATATTTTGGGGAGCTGGACTCGTGAGGTTTGAACGTTGGGGGTTGGCCATCCTGCGGATTTTGAGCGCTACTGAGTCTTCTTGCCAATTTTTAGGATTTTCCAGCCACAATTTCCGAGGTGGATCAGTATTTCCCTGTGTTGCCGCGCGAAAAGTCCCCGCAAAGTGACATTAAATACACAGCAGGTGAGGAAATAGCAGCTGTAGAAATCCACAGAGCGGCGTCCCAGACGGCAGGACGCATCCGAGACCGGCCTCTCTCTTCCTGCTGTGCAGAACGGGCGAGCTCGCTTTCCCTCAATTAAGGCATTAAAATCCACCTCCCTAAGCTCTTAACGCATTACTATCGACTTTCTCCTGGCGATGCTGTGGCTGCAGGATGAATGCTGTGACTTCTCCGAACAGCTGCTTGGGGGCACAGAGCTCAGCCTCTGCGGAACGGGTGGTGCTTTGCCGTAAGGGGACATGATCAAAGTCACATCGGGTGTAGCCGATGCGGTGGGCATTACTGGGAGGAAGATGGTTTACTGCCCAAAGGGGCTAGATTGCAAGCCAGAGGCAGCACAGATAGGAGAGAGGTTGCTGTGGTGAACTTCAAATGGACCAGGCGCCAGGGTCAGAAAGTCCCTGGATAAAAAAAAATCCTGATTTTTGCTGTATCTGCTCCTTCAACTCATCTCTCCGCGGCACCAGGCGCCGTCTCTGAACACTGGAGACTTTTGTTTTCCTCTCAAACCCCAGCTAGAAAATCCTGTTATCAAGTACAATTCCGGCTCCAATTGTGCAACCTGTTCTGGGTGGATGGAACGCTGGGTCTCCGCAGAGCTCTGCTGGGTCTGGTTCTCCTTTGCTCTGCGCCTTGTGCAGCCACTGGCCCCGGGGCAGCATGTACATCGCTGGCATGCCAGGGCACGGGGTGGGAGCGCAGCTTGTGTAGACGGACCTGAGTTAATGTTCATCTAGCTGGCTCGTGTACTGGAGCAGCCAAAAGGGGTCCCCAGTTTGAGAGGGTCCCCAAGCTGAGTGGTGTTGTGACCTTGTGCGTGGGATCGCAGTGCCATTCAGGTTTGGCCTGGCATCATGGCAGAGGGACGGCTGGGCCATACCTGAGTGGCGCTGCGACCCTGCGTACCAGCAATGCCTGGGGTGGAGATCTGGGCTCTGCCCCGCAGGATAGAAGCTGAGCCCCTGTTGTGGGGTAAGTGCAGTGGGAGCTTGTTCTCTGATTTCCGCCCCCCCCCCCCCACCACACACAGCAGGAATTTTTTTGGAAGGGTGAGGGTTCTAGATTTCAGATTTTGCCCCGGGTCCCCTAAAAATCACAGAAGGAATGCACCAGCGCTGAAGCCTTCAAACATCATGAGATTTAAAAAAAGAAATAATACATTTTGGGTTGTTCTCTTTTTACAAAAGCTGAGCTTCTCAGGTAATCCCCTGACTCCAGCACCTTGTACTTTAAGGGAAAACATCACATATTGCGAGACTCAATAAAAACACGCTACTGAGTCTTCTTGCCAATTTTTAGGATTTTTCCAGCCACAATTTCCTAGGTTGATCAGTATTTCCCTGTGTATTTCCCTGTGTCGGCAACACTGTCAGTATCTGCAACCCACACATCAGTAGCGCTCAAAATCCGCAGGATGCAACAAGGAAATAAAGAACAAAAGGTGACAGGCATATACATCTTATAATTGAATAGTAACAAGCCAATGCAGCTTGTTTTAATGTTAATAACCTACTGGCTAATTTGTCATACAGGGAAGGACGTGTTTTAAGATGTGATGTTGCACCTTTATAATGAATGTTGTCATGCCAACCTGAAGCAGCAAGCCGCCCCCTCGGTGTATGTGCAGGAGGGAGTGGCATGTGCTAAACATGTTAGTAGAGTCCCTCTTAAGCCTTCAGAATAGATTTTAAGTGGGACATGGGTCTCCTGTACCGGGGAGGATTTCACCTGTTGATCGGCGCTGTCTCCGATGAACGGCGCCACCTACTGACTCCCCAGCACTGCTTCCTGCAGTACCTCCCTGTTCCTTGGAGGTCTCCCGACTGCTAGGATCTCCTAAGGAGCTGAGCTGGGTCAGGTTAGGTCTGTGGGCACCAGATTCTTTTAAAAGAGCTCTGGGCCGGATTTCCAGCCCTTTAGGTGCTGGGTGCTTGGGAAAACTTGCCGGTAAATGTCACAATGGGAACCCGCTGACCCCACTTGAAAATCTGACCCTTAGGCAGGGGCCTCCATGGGAGCTGAGTTCTTGTGAGAATCCGAGCCCAGCGGCAGGTGCTGAGCCCTGGGAAATGTAGCCCGCAGCTCTTCTGAAAAATTCTGGCCCGTCCTGACCCTGCTCCTCTTAGATCTGACACAGCTGCAGGGCTCAGAGACAGCCCCAAACCACCCCCGCGCCAAACCCCTTTGAACTTTGCGGGGGAGGAAGCGGTTGAAAAATTGGGATCCAGGTGTGAAATTTGCAGCTCGGGGCCACCTCTAGGAAAGCTACAGCTAATCAATGTCTCCTGTATTGCAGCGGTTCTCAACCCGGGGTACACATACCGCTGGGGTTCACACAGGTCTTCCAGGGGGCACTCAACTCATCTAGATCATATTTCTCAATGTGGGGGATGCAACTCCCAGGGGGTCATGGGATGGGTTTGGGGAGGGTCACAAGTGCAGGGCCGGCGTTAGAGGGGGGCAAACAGGGCAGTTGCCCGGGGCCTTATGCCACGGGGACTCTGCGAAGCTAGGTTACATGCTTCAGCCCTGCCGTCCGGGGCTCCGGCTTCAGAGAAGGCTCAGAAGTGAAAAACAGGCTCAGGTATCACACTGAAATGTAAGTACGATATTTATATTCCGGTTGATTCATAATGATATGGGAAAAAGGAGAAAGTGAAGAGTGATGTGACACTTGTGTATTTTCACGTCTGATTTGGTAAGCAAGTAATTTTTAAGTGAGGTGAAACTTGGGGACACGCAAGACAAATCCGACTCCTGAAAGGGGGACAGTCGACTGGAAAGGTTGAGAACCACAGTTGGGACAAACTCGGGTTCCCACGAGGACCGCCGGCTCCGTGTCTCAGGAGGGGCGAGGGTTTGGTTTGAGCACGTGCAATGGGATTCCCAGAAGAACGTTCCTGTCTGATTTCACGCTCCCATCAGCTGTGCCTGGTGCCGGCACAAACTCCACCCCCCACCGTGAAATAGGGAAGGGGCCATGCGCTGGGGTGGGCAGCTCACCTGGATTTCTCTGGCATGGTACATGATGATGAGGCCCAGAAGTATCATGGTTGAAAGGCTGATAAGGCATTTCAGTGCAAATGAATATGAAGACTCCTGAAAGGGAGACAGAGAGGAGCAGCGTCAGGCATGGTTCCCCCTTCGGTCCCGAGGAGACCCGTGGCAAGGAGGCTCTGGACTCGGCTCGTTCGATAGGCGCACACAGATCTTTATGGAAAGGCGCGTACCGAGCTGGAGGGAGGGACTCACTGTCTTCACCTGGACGAACCTGGCATGCCGCAGGGATCCCGACTCCAGGAGAGAGCCGATCCCGTAGGCAGGCCATCAGCCACTCGCCGGCCCAACCTGCACTGAACTCCAGGCTGGGTTGCTGGCCTCTCGGGGCAAATCTCCGCAGCGGCTGACGGGAATCTCCAGGGCAGGTGGACATGCCCGGGGTAGCCCTGATCAAGCTTGTGCGCTGCAAAGAGCAGCGTGGCCATGGTCTGGTGCTGGCAGCGGCTCGGGCCGGCCGCCCTGCTACATACCTAGGACCTCGGAGGGGGTTGTCCTCCAGCGACTAGCTCATGCCGCCATGGCCACGTTGCTATTCTTAGCGCACGAGCTCCCCCAGAGCTGGTGAGCGTATGTCTACCCGAGCTGGGAATCACGCCCCCAGCTGCTGCCTGGACGTACCCCCTGGCCCCAGAGGCTGGCCGGGAAACCTGCAGTACAGGACACCCCAATGCAGGGGTTAATCCTAACCCTGTTCCCCTCCCTACTGACAGTCAGCCAGCGTTTGGCAGTGATCCGCTAAGCCTCCCAGCTCCCCCCATTAGGATCCACATTTATTTCACAGACAGGGAAAATGAGGCACAGAGATGCTGAGACGCGCCCAAGGATACCCAGGAGGTTGGGGCGGAGCCAGGAATGGAACCCAGCTCTCCAGAATCCAACCCTGAGCGTTAGCCCCTGAACCAGCTTCCTCTCTTGAGATCCCAACCGATTCTGGGGGGTTACACTTGCCCCTAAGAGGCAGCCTCCGGTGTGGCTGAGGGGGGCAGACGCCACATGACCAGTTCCATCCAGGGATGCATTTGACACATGGATGTTAGCAGCCTGGGGCCCTGTTCTGATCCCCGGGGCCTTGCACAGAGGTCTGCCGGCCCTCCGGTGACAGATGTGCAAGCCAGCTTCTGTAGCGGCAAGATCTGGGACTCTGCAGTCACAGACATGTCGACAATGTTCAGTTGAGGCGGGAGCGCGGGACAGGTGAGCTGCATGGCAGCATGCAGGGGACAGGCGGGTGTTTGCATGAACGATTCTGTCTGGCCCCACACCTCTGCCGTTCGGGGGAAGATTCATCAGCCCTGGAGAGAAGCCAGCTGAGCAAGAATGATAAAGCATCTCGCTGAGCCAGGACTGTTCACACGGTCAGCACAAAGCGCCCATTGGCATCAGACGTCGCAGCGAAGGGCAGGGTCCATTAATCCTCACAGCAGCTCGGGGGAGGAGAGCCATCGCTGGGTCGGTGCAAACACAGACCCACGGGGAGGGGGAGAACAGGTACACACGCACAGAGATGGGTCCGTGCACGTATCCCTGCATCGGTGCACCCACACATACATAGACTCTGGGACACACGTTTAAACGCATCCTCCTTTCCCCAGACGTACCCACATCACCCCCTGGCACACCCGCGTGTGCACACCCCCACAGCAAGCTGACGTTCAAACATGCGGGCAGTCCTGCTCTCTCTGTCTCTCTCACACCTGTTCCTTATCCCTTATGTGTGTCACGGTGGCACTCGGACGCCTGGTGTGCCAGGCGCTGTACACACACACAGCTGTCTTGCACTCACACAGCCTCCAGCCCCCCGCCCGCGTGAGACCTAGGTACCAGCTAAAAGTTCCACTTATGCTCCAGGGCTGGGACTCCCAGGATCCTTTGCTTCCCAAGGGCGACATACAGGCCTGGACCCCCACAGGGCGTGAGTAGGACTTAGGCGGTACCCAGGACTTGCGCCAGCCTCTTCTCTGAGCCAGGCGCGTCTGTCCCCCCGGGTCCCCGGCCTTTCGGCTTCAAGACAGGCCGCGGTCCCTACCTTGGTGTAGACTCCCCAGGAGAGCTCCGTCTCCGTCACCATGACGACGATGCCGAACATCCCGAAGATCAAGGCGTAGTCGCTCAGGCGTTTGCGCTTCTCGAAGAGCGCCCGCCGGTGGCCCAGCCGGTACCCAACGTTCTGGTTCTTCTTCTGGCTCCGGGAGCGCGCCGCCGCCGCCGCCTCTTCCGCCTGCAAGCTTGTATCCTTGGCCTGCTCGGTTTTGGAGACCACCACCTCCAGGCCCGAGCTGTGGAGGGTCTGCAGGGGCTGGGTCTCGGCTCCCAGTTCATGGAGGTTGCGCTGGGAGGCGCTCAGGCTGCTCAGGGGTCGGACCACGCCTCCATTGTACTTGCAGCTGTTCATGGCTATCTCGGTGAAGGGGTTGGGCTCGCTGAACGCTGTCTTGGATCCAGCATGATTCAGAACCTGGGCGTCCGCATTTACCTGGGAGGAGACGGAGATGGGGTTAGAGAGAGGCACACCTGGGGGCAGAGAGACGGGGGGGGGGAAGGGGAGAGCTCGCCCCCTTCTCAGTCCAAGTACCCCGGGACTGCAGCTTCCATTCTACAAAGCAGAATTTGAGCTAAAGGGGGTGCAGGGGGCTAGTTATTATTAGTCTGTGTTACTTATCTAGCATCACAGATGCGCGGCAGGGACAGCGAAGGGAGGGCAGGCCCTGGGCTGGTCTCAACCCCCGGACCATGACTGCTAAGAGCCAGCATCGAGAGGCGGCCCATGGGGTCTGCCTGCGCAGCGGTGTGTGGCTCTAAACCGCACCACCTGAGCCGCTCTTGAACCCCGGTCCCCTGGCAGCTACGAGAAGGCAGGCCGTGGCACCCACCCTAAGGCAGAGAGACCCCCGACATTACCAAGACACAGAGCTGTGGACGGCGACCATGCATGAGGATAAAGGCTCCATTAGCAAATGGACGGGGAGGCCCAGAGGCAGGGACCATGCTGGGAGAGAGGGCTGCAAGAGCCTACACAGAGGTGAGGGGCTTGTCTGCCCGGCCCTGCCCACCCTTGGGACCATTGCAGGGTGGAATTCACCCCCGGGGCAGTAGGCCAGGAGGAGAGGACAATGCAGGCATGGGGAGGGGCGTAATGCAGCTCAGATGCTGTGGTGATGGGCACTCTATAAAAAGTAGGTAGAGGAGAAAGAAAGAAAGAAAATTCAGCAGTCCCTTGAGATACAGGTGCACATGCTAGGGGGCACGGTTACCTGATCTACTCACTGGGCAACACTCCCTTCCCAGAGCTGGGAATAGAACCCAGGCGTCCTGACTGCCACTCCCCGCTCTCACCTCTGAACACGCCCAGAGATGCCCACAAAAAAAATCAACAAACAAACAACTCAGCTGGTTAAAATAGTTTGACCCCAAAGGTTCCCAAAAGGATTTTACAAACTTCAGCTCCGCACATGGATCCCTTCGACCAGCGTGGAAATGCGGCCACCTCTGTGGCGAAGTGCACTAACCGCATAACAACTCACAGCCACAGGAAGTGAAGAATTCCACGTACAGCTGCAACGACCCCCGGGTGGGGGTTGGACAGAGGCGGGTTATATCACACTCCCAGTCAGTACCCAGGCCGGGAACACTAATGATCCAACCAGCGGACCAAATTCGGTCACAAATCCTGGCCATGTCCCACCTGAGGCATGCTGTGAAGACGCTAAGAAGACCTTGGGACTTGAAGGATCAGTTTCAAATCTCATCTAAAAGCCAGTGCCCACTAGTAGAGCCCTGGGCAGATACCAAATGTGTATCCGCATCCGATCTGCGATCCACGAACATGGTCCGTGGATATAAAGCAGATATCTGCAAATCCACAAGCGCCGGGCCACTAGCTCAGAACAAAGTGCGCCCCCTCATGACTTGCCTCCGTGACAGGGTCATAAACAGCAGTTAGGGGTTATGGACCGACACAACATCCCAAAGCTCGGTAGCTCTTGCTGGTCTCCCATCCGACCCCTGCTTAGCACTGAGCACTGGCAGAATCCCAGCGTGAGGAACAGGCTACCCTCCCTCACACCCCTTCCTTGGCCCTCCCCTTTCTTGCTTGGGTGCCCAGGGACCCAGCACTTCAGAGGCTGCTGCCTCGCGGGAATGGCTGCAGTAGCAGTGGGGGGTGGACAGGTCTGTCTGGGCCTCTCTAATAAGACTTTGATTTTTCCTGAGCTGTGTGGAGCCATCTCGCTGGCTGGCGAACAGGCCTTTCCCCGGTGCTGATTAATGACCTGCATCTGGCACGGGGCACGGGTTGGGGAATGAATCTCCTGTCTGTTAGCCAAGTGCCTGCACGTCAAAACAGAGCGCCCGCAGCAGATCTGGAGTAACGCCTCATCCCACTCTGGAGCCAGGACAGCGAGGCTGATAGGCAAAGCCACCTTTTGCTCCAGCTTTGAGGCAGGGTCACCAGTGAAACGAGTTTGTTTGGGCTTAGTATTGGCAGGGGGTTGTTATACAATCACTGTCCAAGGCAATGTGACTTCCGGGTTCTCTGCTCACAATGGAGCCAGGGCAGGAAGACAGGAGGAAAGGATATATGTGTGTGTGTGTGTGTGTGTGTGTGTGTGTGTGTGTGTGTGTGTGTGTGTGTGTGTGTGTGTGTGTGTGTGTGTGTGTGTA